ACACACACGCACACGCACACACTTATTCACAAGGAAAAAGTGCAGCAGAGGTATCAAGCTATCTGAGTTTGTATTCCCTTACATGGCCATACGCAACCGCTGGACAAATGGTGCAAGGTAGAAAATGTTAGGTAATCTCTGTGTGTGTGTGTGTTTCCACATGAATCTACAGCACATTACGTATGTGTGTATTACCGTAAGGTGAGCGAGGGTAGAAGGGCGTAGTTTCCTTCTGAGGGATCTCTTGAACTTTGCCGTACAGCTCACTAGTGGAGGCCTGGTAGAATTTTACGCTGTTGGTCAGACCGCATGTCTTTATGGCGTCCAGGAGACGAAGCGTACCTACACCATCCACATTAGCGGTGTACTCGGCCAACTCGAAGGAGATCTAAGAAATAGGGGAAGAGAAAAAGACACGTAGAATTTATTAAGTTTGTATCAATATTAATTCTGGGAAGTATTCATACAAAAAGAGCTGTGAACCTGAGAAATAAGATTTGGACTGATTGTTGCTATCTCAGTAACAAAAATGAGGACTTGAGAGTTGAGACTGCTCAAAACATGAAAACAAAAAAATTCCAGACTCAAGTTTTGACCTGGTGAAATACCAGAACAAGAAACAAAGAAATAATATTGCGACAGTCAGGCTTTGCATTGCCACACAGTCTACATAGTTTCTTATTAGGCCTGTGCACATAATGTACTTTGTCTTTGTTAAATATATACAGTATACTTAAAAAAAACCTTTGGAAGTTAAATGTTTAAATGCTGTGTTATGTCAATGATCAGCAAATTTCTTTTGAAGACAGGATTTCTGCAAGTTAACATTGTCTAAGACCTTTTTAAGACCATTATGGATGTAATTTATGACGTCCATATGGGCAAAAACAAAAGGTATGAAGGATATAATGGAAAATTGGTATTGGTTACATTTTAAAGCAAAACTTAAAAATTCAACTTCATACAAAAAAAACATGAACTTCATTAATCCAATCAAATTGTAAGACCTTTCAAAACATATTCAAGACACCGTGGAAGATGTGATTTGACAGATTTTACTGATTTCACACTTGAATTGGTTTTGCCAAAGAGAATTAAAAATAGCTCTGCTGTGAACATGTTACATTTGATGTATTTTAACAGCTAACTTTATCACTAATCAACTTTCAAAACCGCTATACCAAGTTTCACACCAACTTTTAGTAATTATATGGAACAAATCACAAAAAGGCCGATCCAATATCAGTATTGGGTACCGATACGGATATACAGTGAGGGGCAGAATTCCTGCTTGGAGGCTGCAGTCACCCTTTTGGTACCTGTCTGTTGGCACTGATAAAAAGTGGATTAGTACATATCAAGTACATTATGTCTTTTATGGTTGAATTCATTAAAGGTTTAATTAAAATTCTTTAAAAATCCGACTTGCTGCATTTTCACTGCAAAGTTGCTTCTTATCAGGTCAGCCATATTTAAATTTGGAGGTGCTGATATTGTCATGTTTAGGGTCCAGTAAAATCTGAAACCTCAGAATTGAAAATACCCTTTGATACCCTGATACCCTATTGCCAAACATGAAAACTAAATTAACCCAAAGCAATCGATCAAAAGGTCGCTACCTTTGTTACATCACATAAAAACTCAATTCCAGATCACATTTCACACAAAGCCACCAAAATCTTCCTTAAACGAAGGTGGGGGGGACAATGACTGAGAACATAATCGAGGAATGTGTTTTCTGGAGTCCATCAGAGCCGATCAGAAAGGTCACACTTAAAACTAAATACTCCAACTCCCAGAATGCCTGTTTCCATTGCCGAGAGCCAAGTGGGGAGGAAACTTAATGAACACTTGGGGGGAAATTAAGTTTAAATTAGAAATGGATGTGTGCGTGCATGATTGTGTGACACTGTGCGCTTGGACTGTGTGTGCCTGTGTGAGTGCCAGGTTGGCCCCGGGCTCCAAATCAGGCGTGACGGTTAAAAGCCGTGCTGGTTAGTGGTCACCACACCTGGAGCGAGCGACATGAGCCACGTCTGTACGGAGGAAACGCTTTGGCCCTTTAGTGCTTCCACACCAGTGCTGTACACACGGCCAGATAAAGACCCCTTATTTAAAGCTGGGACCAAAGAACACTGGGCCTCTATTCCACTCAAAGTCCACACACACACACACACACACACACTTACACACACCGAATACACACACACAGTGAGCAGGTTTGATCAGGTTCAATTACACTCCACAGCTCAGTGTAATTACCTGTGACGCTCCACTCACGCTTTAACTTTGTATACTGGCATTTTCATTTACATTTACATCATTTTCAAGAGAAGGTGAGGTGACGGTTTATGCACCAGCTTGTACTGTAAGTTACGTTATGAAGTTTTCTACAGCAAAACTAAAAGGGTGGACATAGTAATGGCAATACTTGTAGAAACTAGCCCAGAAACCTGTTGAATAAATGTCTCTCTGCAAAAATATATTCTGAAATAAAACTACTGCTACTAAATGATGTAGTGAAACTTCAAATCTTCAAATTTAAAAACGTGTGGTCAGTGCAGCAAAAGACTGATTCTGATGTAATAAATCTATCCATGTGTACCAAAAACATAGCACTGTGATCGAAACGGATATAATTATTTATTCTGAGCAGACCTGAATCGATCAGATATATTTCTATATTACCTAGCCAACGTAAAAAATTTATCAAGTTATCTTTTAGTTTGTAAAAGTTCAAAAAGTACAAAATCCATTCAGAAACTGAATTCCCAAGAAAAGCACATTGAGTAAGCAAAAGTATTTCATTTGTAATGACTTGAAATAGAGAAAAACAATGTAATTCTTTGCATTTTAAAACTGTACCCAGTAAATGTCTGATTATAAATGACTAAAACAAAAGCTTTTATTCTTTGTTACAGCATTTTCCATGAGCAAGCATTTCTATATCAATACCAAGGTTTCCATCCAAATGTACCACAAAAAGTTCCAGAGAAATGGGGAAAACAAAATGCTAATTATTTTGTTATTATTTAGCGTTTCCATCCGTTACTATTGTGTGAATATTAGGAGTTGAGTGTAGTGAACCACTGCAGAAGAGGGGGACGAACGGCGGAAAACAATGTTCTGACAGTCTCCTCTCACATACAGATCTGATGTTTTCATCTGTCTTCAGTGGACCTTTATGTCACATGCTCCATGAATATAAGATAATTTGTATTGTTTGTTAGTTTTTCAAATTGTCACTTAATGTAATTTGTCACTATAAGGCTACTACACTATGGACAGAAATTAGCACCGAATGTTAGGCCACATTTGTAATCTTGTCTACCATTTTATTGAAGCAACATTCTTGGACTTTGACTTGTGTTTAGACAGGTTTGGATTCTTTTATAAAGTAAAAAAATAAGGTTGTTGTCCAAGTATAAAGAGTATTAAAACAAGTATAAAAATGACATTGTCAATATTTTCTCTTTTCTCTTTATGCAAGTTTTGAATTAAATGTCGTTCAGGCCAGGACTGGTGCAGCTGGCGTCAGAGGATACTGGCTCCTGATGAAGCTAAACCTGAAGCAGACAATACCTGCCTTCATGTTCAGTCAAGGAGAGGGGGACAGTCACACACACAAGACAGATTCCCTCTCCAAACACAGACATAATGTAATCCCAGCTCTCACAGGTTCTGCTCTTCCTCAGTCACTGTGGAGCTCCTCCCCTCCTCCACCTCTTCCTTCCTCACACATTTCTCTCCCCCTGCTTTGTCACTGCTCCCTCTCCCTGGACCTCATAAACCTTATTTTATGCTACAACAGTACCTCCCTCACAGATATCCCCTCTCTGTCCTCCTGTCTGTGTGTGAGACCCTCTGTTCCTCTAGTTTTTCTAACACTGAAGAGGTCTGTGTCACACACACACACACAGACAGACTCCAGGTATCAAAACCAGCTGAGAGGGGCAGGGTCCAGGACGCCTTGACAACTTAAATCAAACAAATTGCCTTAATGCCTCCATTCTTTGTCATTATGTAAGGCAGGGCCTGAGCGCTGACGGTTTAAAGGCCAGACGTTTTTATACACTGATGTGTGTATGTGTGTGT